GGGAGAGGCCTGGGTGCTGGGTGCCTGCAGGGGCATTTGGAGCAGGGAGGGGGAACTTTTCTGCCAAGGGCAGTTTGGATATATATATATATATATATATACTGCCGCATTCGAAGGCCACAGAAAATGAGCAACTTAAAAAGATTAGCCTGCTACTGTGGGTGGTCAAACGTTTAATTAACTCACCCCTAAGGGGATGGCTGAGGAGCAAGGGGGAGATTTTGCATTCCTGTAATAAAGAGTTACAGCTTCAAGAACCTCCAGGGGTAGCTCTACCCAGTCATACCTACAGGGTTTGCTGTGAGTCTGCAGGGCCCGAGGGCAGTGGGCTACTGAGAATGATGGCAGCATGGGTTTCTCTTTGGGGAGGCCTGTGACTTTGGCTGGTGTCAATGATTTTGTAGACCTTAGACAGGCTATGAGCCAGGCGTACCCCACCCCTGGTCTACAGGATGATAGGTGAGCTCAAGTTGTGGGAGGGGGTGTGCGAGGGGGGCGGGGCGCCCTGGACCTCCCTCCCCCAGCCCCACTGCTCTCTTAACCAGATATGCGGCTTTTCAGACGTCAGTTACTTCGTCCTAGAATAGGTCTTGGGTGGGCCCGTGCTGAGGGGACTCTCTGGGGACCTGTGGCCGGCCAGTGTGAGCTGTTCCGGGTGGCCCAGGACAGCTCTGGTTTGGGGATGGGCAGGGGGCACGGGCGCCAGAGAGGCCGGCTCTCACCTCGCGCTGCTCTCTGCATCCCAGCAGCCGGAAGTGGAAGTGTCCCGCGAGGCCCTGCAGGGGAGCGCGCAGGCGCCGGGGTTGCAGGAGACGTGGAAGATCAGGAAGGCACTGGACGAGGAGACACAGCGGCGGCGGCAGCTGGAGGACGAGGTGCAGAGTGCCCAGGAGGAGATCCGGAGCCTGCAGGCCCGCGAGCCACAGGAGGCTGTGGTATGTCAGGAGGTGCGCAAGAAGGTGCCTGACCCCGCGCTGGAGGAGAGCTTCCGGCAGACGCAGCGGATGCTGGCCGAGGAGCAGCACAAGAACCGGCTGCTGCAGGAGGAGCTGGAGGTGCTGCAGGCGCGGCTGCGGGCGCTGGAGCGCGACACGGGGGCCGGCGGGGGGCAGGAGTATGTGGTCAAGGAGGTGCTGCGCATCGAGCCCGACCGGGCCCAGGAGGACGAGGTCCTGCGCCTGCGAGAGGAGCTGGAGGAGCTGCGCCGGCAGAAGGGCACCCGCGAGGCCGAGGTGGCCCTGCTGCGGCAGCGCATCGCCGCCCTGGCCGAGGAGAAGAGCCGGGCGCGGGAGGTGGTCAGCGAGAGGGAGATGGTGACGCTGCACAACGACCCACAGCTGGAAGCGGAATTCCGGCAGCTGCAGGAGCAGCGGCAGCGCGAAGGCCGGCAGCGCAAGACGCAGGAAGAGGAGCTGAGCTTCCTGCAGGACAAGCTGAGGCGGCTGGAGAAGGAGCGGGCCATGGCCGAGGGCAAGATCACCGTCAAGGAGGTGCTCAAGGTGGAGAAGGACGTGGCCGCCGAGAGGGAGGTCAGCGACCTCAAGCGCCAGTATGAGGATGAGGCTGACAGGGCGCACGCCCGCCAACGGGAGAAGACAGAGCTGCTGCGCCGGATCTGGGCCCTGGAGGAGGAGAACGCCAAGGTGGTGGTGCAGGAGAAGGTGCGCGAGATCGTGCGGCCGGACCCCCAGGCCGAGAGCCAGGTGGCCGACCTGCGCCTGGAGCTCGTGGAGCAGGAGCGCAAGTTCCGAGGCGCCGAGGAGCAACTGCAGAGCTACAAGGGAGAGTTGGCGGCGCTGCGGCAGCGAGGCCCCCAGGTAGAGGTCAAGGAGGTGACCAAGGAGGTGATCAGGTACAAGACAGACCCCGAGGTGGAGCGGGAGCTGCAGAGGCTGCGCGAAGAGATCGTGGAGAAGACGCGGCTCATCGAGCGGTGTGACCTGGAGATCTACCAGCTGAAGCAGGAGATCCAGGCCCTCAAGGACGCCAAGCCCCAGGTCCAGACCAAAGAGGTGGTCCAGGAGATCCTGCAGCTCCAGGAGGACCCGCAGACCAAGGAGGAGGTGGAGTCCTTGCGGGCCACGCTGGCGGAGGAGCACAAGAAGCAGGTGGACTTGGAGAGGGAGCAGGCGGCGCAGGCGGCAGAGATCGCACGCCAGGAGGAGGAGCTCTCTCGCGTGCGCGAGAAGGTAGTGCGGCAGGAGGTGGTGCAGTTCGAGGAGGAGCCGGGCCTGCGCGCCGAGGTGAACTCCTTCAGCCAGAGCATCGACATGGAGCTGCGGCAGATCGACACCCTGAGCGGGGAGCTGCGGCGCCTGCAGCGGCGGCGCAGCGAGCTAGAGCGGCAGCTGGAGGAGCTGGAGCGTGAGCGGCAGGCACGGCGGGAGGCCGAGCTGGAGGTGCAGCGCCTGAAGCAGCGGCTGGCCGGCCTGGAACAGGAGGAGAACGAGGCCCGGGAGAAGGTGACCCGCAAGCAGAAGGTGGTCCTGCAGCAGGACCCCCAGCAGGCCCGCGAGCACGCCCTGCTGCAGGCCCAGCTGGACGAGGAGCGGCACCGACGGCAGGTGATGGAGAGCGAGCTGGAGACCCTGCGCCGCAAGCTGCTCGGCCTAGAGAAGATGGAGGTCAAGGAGAAAGTGGTTTTCTCCGAGAGCGTGCAGGTGGACAAAGGCGATACAGAGCATGAGATCCAGAAGCTCAGGGGCAGCCTGGAGGAGGAGAGCCGGGGCAAGCGGGAGCTGGACGCTGAGGTCAGCCGGCTGGAGGCCAAGCTGTCCGAGCTGGAGTTCCACAACTCCAAGTCGTCCAAGGAGCTAGACTTCCTGCGGGAGGAGAACCACCGCCTCCTGCTGGAGCGGCAGAACCTGCAGCTGGAGGCCAGGAGGCTGCAGGCTGAGATCGAGAGGGCAGCGGTGGAGACCCGGGGAGACCCGGGAGGTGTGGTGGCAGTGGACGCCGGCCCGAGCCTGGACTCCAGGCTGTGGTCCCTGGAGCGGGAGCTGGAGGAGCTGAAGAGGCTGTCCAAGGACAAGGATGTGGAGATTGACGAGCTGCAGCGGCGCCTGGGCAATGTGGCAGTCAAGCGGGAACAGCGGGAGAACCACCTGCGTCGCTCCATTGTGGTCATCGACCCCGACACAGGCCGAGAGCTGTCACCTGAGGAGGCTCGGCGGGCAGGCCTCATCGACTGGAGCATGTTCGTCAAGCTGCGCAACCAGGAGTGCGACTGGGAGGAGATTTCGGTCAAGGGCCCCAACGGGGAGTCCTCCGTCATCCATGACCGCAAGTCTGGCCGCAAGTTCTCCATTGAGGAAGCCCTCAGATGTGGCCGCCTGAGCAATGACCAGTATGAGCGCTACATCAACAAGGACATGTCCATCCAGGAGCTGGCTGTCCTGGTGTCTGGCCAGAAGTAGGCCTTGTGTACCACCCAGAGCATCTTCTTTATGCAGAGCCCACACCTATGCTCAGGCTGCTCTGTCACTGACCTGGGTTGCCCTGTATGACCCAGCCTAGCTGGGGTGTGTCTCCCTCCCCACACTCACCCCCACACTTTTGCCTTTTCCCTACCCACTCCTCCAACACACTACCCAAGTGTGATGCCCAGAAAGAAGCCAAAACCCACCAGAGCCCCAACATGGGCTCCAAGTGTCTAAATACCCATTCCTTCCCCAGGGGACGTGGCCCATGGGTCGGGGGACAAGGCAGCTTCTTCATGGGTGGTAGGAGCACCAGCCCCAAGGACCCTTTCTGGTTCACTGTGAGAAAGCAGGCAGGTAGCTCTGATGCAGAATAAACACCTGGTGGCTCGGGGCTCTGCTCATGCTCAGCATTTATGCGACGTTCGCGTGTGAAGTGTACCCCTCATCCCTTCTGCCCATAGCCAAAATGGGTCTGACCTCAAATACAGCAAAAAGGGGGGAAGAAAAGGGAGAGAACATGTTTTGGAAACCTTGAAACAAATTTATTGAGTCACTTTATACAAGATTAACAATTTTCACACCACCCCCAATACCACCATAATCGCAGCACAAGCCACAGCCCTTTCACACCTTAGATGGCCAGGCCCAGCCAGCCGGGCCCCTGCAGGAAGGCAGGCCTTCGTGGCTGGTTTCTTAACCCATTCACGCTCCCGGGACTGCAAATAAAGCCTGAACGAGAGAAAGAAATCGCATACCCCCATCACAGAAACGTTTCCCTGAGGCTAGAGGCATCGCTAGATTCCTAGAACGAGGGTCTCCCTCTAGGCTGCACTCTCGACACACAGAGGGTGGGCCACGCCGGTGGGCGAGGGGTGAGTCTGGAGCACCCTCCCTGCTGCACGCACAGGTGCACATACCGCAGCTGAGCTCGGCAAAACAGACCCCCCTCTTTGGCTCTTTGGCGACTCCCTAAGACTGTTCTGTAAACAAACTGGAATCCAAGTTGCAAAAAAAAAAAATCAGGACAGGATGAGGAATCCACTTGGCCCTACATGAGCTGTCTGCTGCGTCGTATATGTGGGAAAAGACATACACACACAGGCTTGCCCCACCCCCCTCCCAAGGGTGAGATGCCACAAGGCAGGCAGGGCTCAGCCCAAGGACGCCACTGACAACACAGGTGCCAGGGTCTGGAAGGACTGTCCTTGGTGGTCTCTGACCTCTCCCCATTAGGGAATGCACACACCACTCCTAAGCATAGCCACTCACTCTGTCCAAGAGTGGCCTTGACAAAGAAAACCTAAGAGGAATGTCTACCTCCACGGAACCTGCGGTCCTGCCCTCGAGAGGTGGAGGAGAGGCAGGAGGGCTCCTCAGGTGGGGTCCACCAGAATGACCTCTGGAGAGCAGAGCCAGGCCCACTTGACCTTCTAGTTCGGTAGCCCTGGCAAGGACGTCTGAACACAGACATAGGTGAGGCGGGCAGGCGCACATGGTCAAGTCCGCCCTACCACAAAGGCACTGGGGTTAGGTCTCCCTATGACAGGGCCTGTGAGCCACAGTCCACTCCGTCTAGGGCAGTTCTTAGGGACTATGACATGAAGCCAGAAACAAGTCTTCAACAATTCCTGTTGCAGGTGTCATGTCTACACATAAGCCTGCCTTTGTAAGCTGCTCTGCCATGCTCAGGGCAGAGATGCCCCGGTGCGGTCTGCCCAGGGTTCCAAGTATTTGTGTCTCAAAGGGCATGGTCGTCCCCGGTGTGGCTCAGGCACACATCTGATGACTGACGGACACCATGACCAGGCCTGGAGTCCTGCCAAGGCTGGCCGGCAGACAGGACACACAGGTGTGCATATTCTTCTGAGCCCCATGATTGTTTGGCAGCACAGCTACAGGACCAGGTCCCCACCTTGGGACTTGGATGGTTCCAGGAGGCCAGCCTACAGAAGGAGCGCCACACTTGGTCAGCTTCTGAGACCCGCCCAGCTTATGCAGATGCCTTTCTGAGCAGAGGTCACAATTTCCGGGATATGCTGGACCCTTTCCCGTGAAGTGGAGACGCATCTGGGGAAGAGGAAAAGGACATGTGACTTCAGGCTCTCGGGTTCTCTTAAAGGCCGCCCCCATCCCAAGTGGCCAAGAGGGTCACGTGGGAAGTAGCAAAAGCCCCTGAAAGCATTGGTCAATGGTTTGTGGGTGCAGGACACGGAGGGAGCACTGGGAAGGCAGGGGGGCATTGAGCACGCTGCCTGCCTCTCAGCCCCAGAGCTGGGAGGTGCCATCAGCGCTAACCCCGCAGGCTGAGCTGTGACCTGGCAGCCTGATGGCTCCAGTAACCAGAGGGCATTAGGAAAGAGAAGGTATAAGACAAGCTCCCTTTCTCTTGCAAACCACCACAGACCATCAGCTGTGCCTCCCAGGGGCTCCCTGGCTATTTGTCCCTCCTTAAAAAGTGACGTTCTGTACACAAGCTGAAGCAGCGGCGTGACAGCTCTGAGAGGGCGCCCACGCCCACCTGGGCAGCATGCCAGCCACAGGCACACCCAGAATGGCGGTATGGGATCAGAGGACAAGGCACTGGGCAGAGGGCATGGCACCAAGCACAGACCCAGAGAAGCAGGAGAATCTGGGCTTGTCATTCCCCCTTCCATCCACCAGCACCACAGGCCCACCAGAGCCCCCTGGGGGCCCACTTCCTGGAGATCAGTCCATGCTCACAGCAGGTCTACAGCAGTAAGGAGAGCAGACATCAGACCCCAACACTGCAGTGCAGGAGAGGCTGCAGGGCCAGTAGAGCAAAGCCACCCCCATCATGCCCCCGTCTGTCTGTCTGTCCTGGGTTTTAGAGCTGCCCACAAGCAGACCCCGACACCTCCCTCTGCACTGGTTGGAGTGCCTCTGCGCCGGGCCCCACAACGGCCTCTGAGCACAGCTCTGACTGGCTGGCCGGCGGGGACCAGGTAGAGTCCAAGTGCAGAGTCCTGCTCTGTGGGAGTGCTCACCCCACAGAGCCCAAGTCCCAAGGGACAGTGAAGGGACCACAGTAATGAGAAGGGCAGGTGAGCGGGCTGTCGACCATTACCTGGCAGGCTCTGTGGGACATGGGTGGACAAGGCAGCATGTGGGAGGGGAGCTGTAGGGCGTGGGCTGGCGTGCAAGCCAGCAAGAAGACCTAAGAGAGAACAGAGATCCAGGAGACCATGAGACACGCAGGGGATGATAGGATGGGGTGGGTGTGGCCAGTGGGACCCCATGGAGTTGCCCCCTCAGCCACATACCAGACACACATGAACCACAGCACCCCAGGCCTGTCAGCTGACCAGGAGCGGGGCACTTACTGTGGCTGAGGCCGTGGTGGAAGGTCCCGGGGGCGGGGCCGGTGACGATGGCATCCTTGGAGGGCTTGGCCGAGGGGGGTTCGGTAGGGAAAGAGAGCACGTGGACAGGAAAGGGCATGGAGCCCAGGACGCCCAGCGAGTGCGAGGTCATGGCCCCAGGCAGCTTGGGGCCGCTGGGCTTGTAGGATGGGGACAGCAGACTCACGGGCGAGGTGCTGGTCAGCAGCACAGCCCCACTGGTTCCTTTCTGAGGAGGAAGCACAGCAAGGAGGGGGTCAGGATCCGCAGCCCCAGCTGGCCTGACCCCTCCCAGGACAGCCCCCTGAGGCTGGCCCAGGTGCAGGCTTTGCAGATGACCCTTCTCATCTCAGTGAGTCTGGCCTTTCTATTGCCACTTGGGAGAAACCATGACCACGCACAAATTCTCATGTGAGCACGTAAGAACATGGGGGCGGGGGCCCACGCGTCAGCAGCTTCATCAAAACATTGTGGGGCAAATTCACCCGTTAATACTATTTTCCCAGCAATGGTCTCGTGCCTAGTATGAATCCCCCATCCCCAACCCCAACTGGTAAGTTCACAAGCACTGCTACTTGGGTTCTAGTTCACACACACACAGATTAGTTCCAGAGTTTACACCTGTGTCGTCCACCAGCGGGTAGCTGTGGGCATGTCCTCTTAGTCAGTCTTGTTGAGCTGCCGTTACCTTCAAAAACACATCTACTGACAGCAGTAACTTTCAAGGGACCTGCTGGGCCAGTTCACTTCCAGGCAGTGAGTCAGCTCTTAAGATGATGACCACTATCTTGTGGACAATCTACAGGGACTTATCAGGAAGGAGTTTTCAGAAAATGGAAAACGGCACCAGGAAGAAAAAAGCCAGGAGAGTTGCAGCCAGGAACGGTTTCCCATCGTGACAAAGCGCCTGCTCCCCCTCCAACAGGGGAACATTCCCTCCAGCACACAGTACCCTGCCCCTACAGCCCTGCTCCTGCCCTCCAGACCCCAGTCCCTCCAGCACACAGTACCCTGCCCCTACAACTCCACTCCTGCCCTCCAGACCCCCATCCCTCCAGCACACAGAACCCTGACCCTACAGCCCTGCTCCTGCCCTCCAGGGACCCCCGTCCCTCCAGCACACAGTACCCTAACCCTACAGCCCTGCTCCTGCCCTCCAGACCCCAGGCCCTCCAGCACAGTACCCTGCCCCCTACAGGCCTGCTCCTGCCCTCCAGAAAACAGTACCCTGCCCCCTACAGCCCTGCTCCTGCCCTCCAGACCCCAGTCCTTCCAGCACACAGTACCCTGCCCCCTATAGCCCTGCTCCTGCCCTCCAGAACCCGTCCCTCCAGCAAACAGTACCCTGCCCCTATAGCCCTGCAGACCCCAGTCCTCCAAGAAGGGTAGGAAATGGCAATGCTGCCTACAGAGCCCCGTGGGCCTGGATGAGGGTCTGTGTTTAATAAACGTCTCTAAACCTGTAGAGCAACACTTTACTGTATGTGCCTGCAGATACTCATTAGTTTTCAGGGAGAAAGAGGAAGAATTGACCCATGAGAACTAGCCCAGCAGTTATCTCTCAGGGTGGGAGGGGCGGCATCTCTGCATATACCTTTCTAAATGGAAGGAAAACCAAGGCCCCTCCCACTTCCCACCCTATTGGACAGCAGGGCTCAGCTCACCCCCATTTGGCCCCTTTGCCTGATCCTTCAAATGCCTATCATGAGCCACCCACAGGCTGGAGCACCCCCACAGCCAGCCAACTGATGGGGGTGCCATTTTCTCTAGGGGTCACTCCCTCCCCAACAGCCCCCCCTTTTCCTGGTGTGGACGTCATTCTCAAGGGACACCACGGGCCCACCCAGGGAAGAGGGAGGCCTCACTGACCTTCACTCACAGCCTGGTGTCCCACCCGGGCAAGTCCTGTCCCCAGGGACAGGATGCTCCATGGACACTCACTGGTAAGGAGGTGGATGACGGCACACTGCTGGCCACGGTAGGCTTCAGGGAGGAAGTCAGCAGCTTTGCCACCCCCTGGGTGCCTCCGCTCGAGTCCCCATTCGGACCTCCTGGTGGTGCTACCAGGGTCAGCTTCTGGGAGACTGTGGGCTTCTTGACTGCCGAGCTGGGCACAGGCCGGCTGGTGGACTGCCCCGTGGACGAGGGCTGCAGCCCTGGGAGCAAGTTCCCGGAGGAAGAGCAGCTTGGGGCTGGTGGACCCCCGGAGGCGGAGCTGCTGGCCATGGCCGCGTGCTTGGAGCCAGAGCCAGCATAGGAGCTGCCCTTGTAGGAGGAAGAGGACTGCGGCTGCCCTGCCGAGCTGGCTGCGTGCTGCTTGGCTGCATGGCTCAGGGAGGAAGTGGACGAGGCCGAGCCCTTGTGGGCACTGCCGCCACCGGAGGCCTGTGTACCTGTAGATGGGGAGGCTGGGACAGAGTGGGGGCTCTGGCCTTTGGTCATGGTCTTTACCAGCTGGAGGAGAGGGCGGGGACAGCACTGGGAGGAGAAGGTCTTGGGGCCTTGGAGCTTGGTGACGAATGGAGCTGGGGGCGTGAAGCTGCTCTTCTGCGGCTGTGCACCTGCGTGGAAGACTTTGGCTGGGGGGCCAGGTCCTGGTGCCGCTGCTGGAGGCCCATGTGAGGGCCGGGCCCCACTGTGGTGCTTGGCTTTAGGTGTGTGCGTCTCTGGCAGGCTCTTACTGAGGGCAGGCTGGCCAGCCAGCTCCTTGTAGCCCGAGCCTTCTGCCTTCTTCTCCTGGGAGGGCTGCCCCAGTGCCAGGGCCTGCTCTGCCAGGAAGTTGAGGGGGGACTGCAGCGAGCTGGCAGACGGAGTTGTGGGAGGGCCAGACTTCACAAAGTGCCGCTTCTCTTCCGTGCATGACCCACTGCCGGTGGCCTTTTCCGCAGGCGCCTTGGCAGGCACAGGCAACGTGAAGTCAGCACTTCCGCCAGCTCGGCTGTTAAGCGCAGCCAGCTCCTTAGACACAGCTTCCAGGGATTGGGCTGGGCTGCGGAGGACGTCCTCATCCAGGGAGTCGTCCAAGGTGATGGGCCCAGTGCTGGCTAGGCTACCAGAAGCCTGCGGGGAGAGCTCCCTTGTGGCAGCCCCGGTGCCCATGCTTGCCCCCAGAGGGTCCGAAGGGCCACTAATCTGGCCTATGGGAGTGGACACCTTCTTATCTGGCTTGGCAGACGGTTCCTAGAAGAAGGCAGAGACATCCTTAGAAAGAAGTAGTGTTAGCGCAGGTCTGCTGTGATGTACAACGCAGCTACACGGCCGGGGCACTGGCTGGCCCACAGGCCTGCTCAACCCTAGGATGCCGGCCTTCGTGCACGCTCAGCTGGGTATGCTCCTGACTGCAGTCAGCATGTGGCGGAATGTGTCATTCTCCTCCTCCATCACCTGCCTTGCCTGGCGCCCCAGCCTACCTGGGTCTAAAAGGCAGTGGCTTTCGGGAGCAAGAATGGGTTGTCCCTGGCTGGCCCTGTCTGCCAGTGCTCAGCAGGCACTACAGGTGGGAGCCCAGCCCGCCTTTGCTCAGCGGCTCTGTAGGTGTGATCCTGGGCTCTGCGGGGCTCAGGACGGGCAAAAGCTTTAGGGTAAAACAGCAGTGTTTGCTACACTGAGCTTTCAAGGAGGCACAGTAGTACAGTGGGCTAAGTGCTGTGCTGATAACCAGAAGGCTGGCAGTTCCAACCCACCAGCTCATCTGTGGGAGAGGAATTACTGTTCTCCATACTTCTGCTCTGTCCTGGAGGAGACTTTGTGAGCCAGCAGACTGGGCAGCAGGGTGGTTGGGATGTGGGTTCTAGAAGGTTGATCTACACCGAGGGTCCCCCCAGGCTCTTCTTTTCTCCTACCACCTGCAGGGTACACCCCAGCCACCTTCTCTCCTGGGCAGCTCTAGGTTCTTTTTCCCAGAGAGAGACAGGGGAAGGTTCCCACCCGCAGGGCATTCCTGCCACAGACTCTCACCCTGGAGCTGTGCTGGGAGTCTTGAGTTGCAGGCCTGCAGCTCCCATCTCTGCCCCCTCCCCCCAAGGTCCCCATCAAGCCATACTGTGTCAGTGGCCACCACAAAGTTCAACGTGCTGCTGTGTCAGGGGAGGTGGTAGTGGTGGTGGGTGGGTGTATGGGTGTGTGTGTGATGTGTGAAAGGAGAAAACAGGCAGACTCACCTTCACCTTGATTTTAGAAGGAGCCATGACCTTCTTCTTGGCCCTGTTCAAAGCAAGGACACAGATGGGTTAGAGGGGCCGGCCACACACAGAGACCAGTTGGCTGCTGTCCTGAGATGAATACCCCTCACTCACAGGATTGATGTCAGGTGCCCATGACCACGCCGGCTCTCCTTGAACAGAGTCCTGGGGGAAGAGGACACAGCATGAGGCAGGGACCCCAGTGGACTGACACAAGTCCTGGCAGGGCTGTGCAGCCAGCCTCAAAGCCACATCTAGTCTCTACCAAGGAAAGCGATGGCTGCCAACTTACCATGGCCATGCCCATCTCCCCCCCACCCCCAGAAGCAACGGCACTCTATACTGTCCACTCTTGTCCAAGAGGGAATGTGGAGTGGCAACAAGTGTCACCATTAGGAGAGACAAGGCTCCAAACCACAAGCAGCTCAGGCCATGGTCAAGACAATGAGCTCCGGCTGTGAGAGTGAGAGAGAGAGAGAGAGAAAAGACAGGAAACAAAGGCCCCTGAGGTAGCTGTCAGCAGCTCCCAATTCTGCAAAGAGGCTGCCCTACTTGTTGCCAATAAGACATTTCCGGATGGGGCCCTGTCCCCGCTCCAATTGTGGCTAAGATGGGGAGGGAGAGGAGGAGGGATGGAGAATGACTAAGCCCAGGCCCCCAGGGATGCTGGCGACAAGATGACCCTGGGGGCACAGGAGCAGCGGCAGCCCCTGCCTGTTCCCCAGTGCCTAGGTGCTCACCTGGCCTGCATCCAGCCTTTGGGCCAGAGAGGCTTGACCTCTGCGTCCAGGAACGCCTTCACGAAGTCCTCCCAGGGCTGGGCCTTGTGGCTCCTCTCTGGGTCGTAGCTCTCCAGCTTTGCCCTCACCACCTGGCACAGCAGCTCCCTGAGAGGGGCCAACGTCAGAACCCTCCAAGCCCCTCAAGCACACAGGGCCCATCTGGCCCTGCCTCTCACAGCACCCCCACCCCACCAGGGAGGCACCTGATCTCATCACTCCACTGGAACTTCTTGCGGGGTCCCATGAGCCGCCGGCCCCCACGCTCCTCGTCGTCATCCTCGTCTGAGCAGACCCGTTCCCGAGGGTCTCTGTCTTTCTCCTCACCCAGCATCCTGGAGGGGTACAAACGAGCAGGGCTGAGTGCCAATGTGTGCCAACTGCCCTCTCCCAGCGGGCCCTCCAGACTCAAACATGAGGATGTGCAGGCATCACAAGATCCAGGGCCTCAAGAGGCCACATGCAGTGCAGAGACGAGGGAGGATGGGACAGTGGGCCCTTACTTGGCCACCTTGGCTTGTGTGTGTGCCTGGCACTCGTCCTGGTACTTGGACATCTGCTCTGGCATGGCCCTGCCAATGGCCTCCTTCAGCTTCTGCAGTGGCTCCCTCAGACGCCCGCCCTGCAGGGCAATAGACCACGAGTCAGATGGACATGTCCCTCCCTTCTTTTCCTTCCCTCCTCCCCTCCCCAGGGGCCCCTACTTTCCGGTCACCTACCTGCTCATGGAGGTGGAGTCTTCTGGCACGCCGAAGCAGGGCATCCTTGCTGCAGGGCAGCATTGAGGCAAGGTGGGTGTACACCCCCGAGCGGACCTGGCTGCTCAGTCCCCGAGTCTGCACCTCTATGCTGGAAGGCAGAGCAGCGTCAGTGGGTGGACAGCCCACCTAAGCACCTCCGAGCATTAGGTACCCCATCCGGGGAGGGGTGGGGACAGAGGCAGGTCAGACCTTGCATCTTGGTCATGTGATAAAACTGAGAGACCAACCCCAGAAAGCTCTATCAGCATGGGTCTGCCCTCAGCTGGGCAAGGTCCAGGAAGGCAGAGCCCATCAGAAGAACAGGCAGGCTCAGGGTACCCCAAAGCCTGCAAAAACGCTCCCGAGGAGAGTCCCAGAGCACTTGGGCTGACAAGAATGACTTTCCCATTTCCCAACACCTTGTTTCATTAGTGATCAGAGCCCAGGGGCCCCCACCCTTCTGCTCTTCTCATCCTGGTCACGAGTCGCTCATCCACCTTCTGCAGGCCTGAGAGTCCTGCTTCTCGACCCAGGGTTCAGGGCCAGCGCACTCTTCCAGGCCTGCTCGTTTGCTAGATATCCCCAGGTCTAGACAACTGTTCTAAGAAGTGCCAGCTCCTCAGTGATGGGGCCACACAGCACAGCTCCGAGCAGAGCTGGCCCACCCGCTGGAAATCAGACACCCTGACCTGGGTCTGGGCTTTACCTTCTGGCCCATGCAGCGTCCTGCTGCTCTCCACACAGAAAACCCACATTCTCACAACTAGACCAGGAAGCAACATTGTGATACACAGAGCAAAGACTGATGTTCAGGATTCCATTCTACTTGGATCCACTATCAACACTACCGGAGGCAGCTGTCAAAGAATTCAACTGTGTACATATGACGGCATCAGTCAAGTGTGCTGCACAGCCCTCTTTAAAGTGCTGAAGAGCAAGGATTGTCACTTTGAGGACTAAGGTACACCTGACCCGAGCCAAGGTATTCTCATCCACCTCATATGCACATGCGAGACAGTGAATAAGGAAGACCCAACAAGGATGTGATGCCTTTGAATGACAGTGTTGGTGAAGAACAAGGAATACACTATGGGGTGTCAGAAGAACAAGCCAATCTGTCTTGGAGGAAATACAGCCGGATGCGCCTTAGAATCAAACCTTCCTCTCACTTCTTTGGACATATTATCAGGGACCAGTCCCTGGAGAAGGACACCATGTTTGCTACAGCCTGAGGGGCAGCGAATGAGAGCAAGGCCCTATACAAGTGGGTTGCAGCAATGGGCTCAACATAAGAACGGTTGTGAAGCTGGGGTAGGATCAGCGGTGGCTCCTTCTGTAGTACGTATGAACTGCAACCAACCTGATGGCACCTACCTCCAGACACCCAGTTGCAACAGTGCAGCGCCCTATGTGGGAGACACGTGGCTTGGGAGGGTGTGAGCTGGCCAGGGGAACACAAGGGAATGGCCTGAGGGGGACCAAGCTGTCTCTTACTTTTCTGGGTGCCCAGAGATGGCAAACAACACCTACTTCCCCACTCTCCTGCTTGCTAAGAGCTAATCTTCCATAGTATTGTCAAGGCTTCTGCAGCCCAGGTCTGATAAGGCCTATCATTTCCCGGAAACAAAGACGAGGGGGGCTTTAAAAAGTTTATTAGACAGTAATGGGAGAGAAAAGTCTGGGGTGTTTAAAATTAGAATGACAAGCGATGCCCACATTCACCTGGACCTGTGCCCTTCTCATGGCCTGCCCCTCCAGCAAGAGACAAGGCCTTCCTTCCACTCAAGGCTCGCAGCCTCTTCATAAAGACCCCGCCTCTTCATCGTATCAGGGGATGGGGAGATGTGTGTTTGCCTTGCATACTGTGAGTCCCCCAAATGATGATTATAGAGCTAACTGAAAAGAACACCAAATAACAGAACTAACAAAACTGACTACTTTTTTTTAAAGTAAAAACAATGAAATCTGCCCCCAAGTTTTTTTAAGCCCCCTCGTATTTCATGTCCCCTGTCAAGGTCAGTAGTTCAAAGCCACCAGCCACTCCTCGGGAGAAATGAGGCTGCCTGCTCCTGTAAAGATTCAGTCTCAGACACCAACAGGGCCAGTTCTTCTCTGTCCTATAGTGTAACCATGAGTCAGAATTGACTAGAGGAAGATGAGGGAGGTGTGGTGCTTTTTAATAAGAAATCTTCCTCCTGAGCACTGGCTGATGGCTTACAACAGCTGACTTTGTGGTCCAAGGCTGAGTACTTCACCACTGTTCTGCCAAGGCTCTTTGAAATCGAACATCAGCAACAGCTCTCAGTGTTTCCCAAAGTGGGCAATACCCTGCTCCGCCCCCACCCCCACCCCCACCAACCCAGTGGAAGCTGCAAAAGCAGATACCTACACTTTATCTTGGATCCTGGGCTATAGTACAGACACTTTTAAGTTGCAGGGATGGGGAACGGGTGGGGTAAGTTTGGGGCCCACTACTCTGTCTTCCTGGGTGGTCTATACTCTCTCTGCAGCAGGACCTGTCACTCTTCATCTGGTCTCGCTCCCACCTCCCCTCTGCCTGGGCAAACAAACAAAAGGTACTCACTCTAACAGGATGCCGTTGATGCCCTGGACGATGGACGTCGGTCTGCTCTCCCCCTCAGCAGCCCTGGCAGCCTGGGTCATCAGACAGGGACATCCATTAGTGCACCTCCACACACCCACAGGCAGAGAGCCAGGAAGACTCTCAGCACTGCTGATCCCCCCCTAACTCGGTCTGCCCTGGTCCCAGGCACTCCACAAACCTCCGACTCACTCCCAGGATACTCAAACAGGGTCAAGGCAGAAGCGGAGTGGAGAGAGAATGGAAATGCTCTAAGAATGCTAGGAAGCCCATCATCATCGAAGAGTTTCCACAGATCCAAGAGGTGGGCAAGCCCCACCCCACCCACCAGGTGTAGGGAAGGAATGACAGGTAGCACTGGGGGACATGGGCTCTTCGAAAAGTCAGCACCTACTTCTGCTACATCGCAGACGCTCTCCCAGCTGGATTCAAACACACTGATCAGCCTACCCCACCTCCCATAGAACAACTGAAGCAGAGAAGTCAGAAGAAACCTGAAGCAAGCCCCACCTCAACCCCACCCCGCAAAGCAACCTAAACCATGACTAACTAGACAATTCCAACTCAGCCACCCAACAGGAGGCTTTCTGAGAAAGTCAAGCTTCATGGGAACAGACCACCTCATCTTTCTCCTGAGGAATGGCTGGAGGGCTTAAACCATCAACGCCGAGTAACACCTAACTCACAGTGCCACCAGGGCTCCAGCCAAATAGCAGACAGGCTTATAAGGAGGGCAGATTAACACAAGGGAGGGTCACACACCCTAGAACAGTGGTTCTCAACCTTCCCAATGCCACAACCCTTTAACACAGTTCCTCATGTTGTGGTGACCCCCAACTATAAAAGTATTTTAATGAGAAAAAAAAAAAAGAAAAGTATTTTCATGGCTACGTCACAGTTTTGCTACTGTTATGAATCGTAATGTAAGTATCTGATATGCAAGATATATTTTCATTGTTACAAATTGAACATAATTAAAGCATAATGATTAATCACAAAACAATATGTAATTATATATTGTGAAATATTTCTATGTTTTCCGATGGTCTTAGGTGACCCCTGTGAAAGGGTTGTTCAGCAACCCACAGGTAGAGAACCGCTACTTTAGAACAACCAACCGTTCCAGGCCAAGAAGGCACCATCTGTCCAAGGGCAGAGTTCAAAAGGCAGGATAGGTGTGGACATGGAGGAGTGGACACAGGAAAACATGAGGAAAGTAGGGTAAGGAATGGCACATTGTGGGATTGACAATCAATGAAGCAAAATGTGTCTGAATTATTAGATGGGAAACTGATCAGCTCTGCAAACCTTCACCGAACTCACAATAAAAAGTTTTTAAAAAAACGAATTTCATTTTAAGTGGCCCTGGTGACACTCATGTCAGCCAACGCAAACTCAGAAGTTGCTGGTCTGTAGGCTCTGGGCAATCAGATTTGATGGGCAATGATGATGGCCAGGAAGGGCCAGTGCTGCCCAAGCCTCTGACTCAGCCCCCAGTCTCCCTGAGGTCTCTTCTCTTGGCTCCTCCCTGATGGCCCCATCTCATCTGTGCCCCAGCTCAGAGTTCTGCTGCCTCGCAGCTCTGCATGTTCAGCCTGGCCCCCCACCCCCACACCATGAGCATCACCCTATACCTGCTCTTTCTCCACTGGGGGACCAGGGAGCACGCACAGAGGCCCCAGCCCTGTTCAGCCCCGGCTTCCTAATTCTGAACCCGGCAAGGGGGCTCTTCCCACACCTAGAGGCAACCCCAAAGGTAGGCACCTGGATTTAAGGGAAGGCCCAGCCAGTCATCCACTCCAGCCTCTTACCTCCCCCTAGATCCCTGGGATCCTGCCACTCACCCATCCCAGGCTCGGTGCCCTGGCTGAGGGTTGCTGACCCTCTGAACACAGTCTGATTCCGTTGACTTCCCCCAGGGTCTCTCCGACTTCCTGAGATTGAGATTGCCTGGCCATCCAGCTGTCTGTCCATCTGCCCACTCTGCTCAGCCCTCAGGCAGCTGTCTACGGACTCAGAGGGGGCACTCAAACCTCATCATGGCCATCACTCACAGAACTTATACCCAGAGACGAGTGCGCAGGTGGGCAAGTAAGCAGCTATCCATGAAGGGGATGAGAAGCCTAACACAGAGCCTCTAAACATCCCCCAGGAGAAGGCGTGCACAAGTCACACTTCTGATGTCAAGAAGTGATGTCACTTCTTGAGTCTATCTCCTGGCTCCAGAATGCCCACGGACAGATAAAAGGGATGGACAGAGTGAGGAAGGGGAACCAGACTCTCAGCCACTGAGTTAATTCCGACTCGCTGTGACTGCAAAGGGTTCCTCAGAACACATCTTCACTCACAGGAGCAGATGGTCTCACCGTTCCCCCAGGCAGCGGTTGGTGGGTTTGAATTGCTGACCTTGTGGCTAGCAGCTGAACACTAACCTACAGCACCATCAGGACTCCTGGATGGAAGAGGAAGCTTGTGGGGTTTCTTTTTAAACCCATTCATCTGCTTTCTTACACCTTCAGCACTATCTGGGTTTTACCTTGGCCAAAATCAGAATGTACTGGATTCAAGACTTGAGCCAGAGTAGAAAGAAAACGGAGCCACTCTTGTACTCAGGCCCAGAAACACCAGCTGGCACATCACTAAGGCCCCCTGAGGACATCAACCCACTCACTCCCATGGCTGTCTTGGAATCCAGCTGCATTTTTAGGTAGCAGCTATTTCTCTAATATACCTGAAGCATCATGACTAGATGGTCCTTTATAGAGGATTTCATTCCCCCTGCTAGAGCCTCTGCAATTGTGTTCAATTTGAAGGCCGGCTTATATATTGAAGAGAATTAGTTGCTCAAAAACTGTAATCCACATGATTAGCTTAGACACATAATGTACCCCAGAATCTTCTAGAAGTCAGTGAGGCCCTTCAACCCCAGGAAGAGATATCTGGCTCTAGGGATTGTTTATGGATTGGTCCAAAACGAGGCAGGGAATGAACACACTAAATTCCCCCAATCCTATTCATTTACATCATCACATTTTTATGAAAAAAAAAAAAAAAAAGTGTTACATTAAAGGTGTTATTATTTTAGTGAGCCAAGAGACCCCTTCCTCGTCACTACCTTTACGCACAGATGTTAGGTGGCCACCCAGGTGTGGGCATTTCTGTGGGTGTTATATGCATACAATGCGGTCCACTCAGCCAGCTTCTCCTCGGGCGTGGCTCGGCACCATTCTCAGGACCTTGTGCTGTGCCCGGGGCTGCTGCACAGACTCACACCTGGTGAGCTTATTCTTTCTCACAAACATCAAACAGGCTGGTTCTCCCAGCCACCCCACCCCTGGGCCTTATTGTCTTCTCTCCCCGTGGTACATGTGGTCCTTACTCACTGCCATCGAGTCCATTCTGGCTCACTGACCCCATAGGACAGGGTTTCTGGAACTTTAACTCTTGATGGGAGCAGGCAGCCTGTCTGTCTCTCACAGAACAGGTGGTTTTGAACTGCTGACCTTGGAGTTAGCAGCCCAACCACTAACCACTACCCCACCAGGGCTCCCACAGGTGGTACAGGGGGTCTGAAAATGGGCACGAGGGTTAGCTGGGAGAAGTGGCAGAGGGCTAAGCGGCCCAGGGTTGCTGCTGCTTGACCAGAGTCACCAACAGAGCAGGGTCACCTGTGTGGCCCAGCTGAGTGGTGGCCAAACTGCACTGAGAAAGCCCCCAAGTTCTCTCAGCCCCTGCACCTGCCAATGAGCGAGACCCAAGAGCCTGGCAGTGCGCAGTTAAAGGAAAGTCCTGAGGCCCTGGGACCAGGCTGACAGGTGTCCACCAAGATGCCCTCTCAGAAGCCCCTCAGGCACACTTAAATTTTGAAATTTGATTTTTAAAGTTAAGTCTCTTCCCGTCCGTAAGTCCTACGAAGAAAGTTTTCTTGCCAGGAACAGATATGCAGCAGAGCAGAGACAGCGGGAGTGCTGGGGTCAGCAGCCACTGCCTGGGGACGGCAACTAGTGCCCCACTCCTCGGGCCCACAGAGCCGGGTGGGGACATTGCAGGCTCCTCCAGACAATGCCAGGTCTTAGGGCCTTGCAGCGTCTGTCCTCAACCTCTTAAAATATTTCCCTGAGCTGGCTGCAGCCTGCAACAGCCCAGTGAGGGGAGAGGCCTGGCTAGCCAATGCAGCCACAGGAGCAGCCTGGGGCAGGTCAGGGAGGCCACACTGCAATCTCAGAGGTGCCTGTTGTCAAGCGACGACCGTCAGGGTAGGCTTCTGGATAGCGATGGACATGTACCAGGGGAGCGAGTGATATTCGTTCTCACCTCGGGGCAAGACTCAAAACACTAACCAACGTCCTCATCAAATAGAGCAGAGCAAGCTGAGGAGGGGAAAAGAAGAGGAACGAAAAAATAAAGCGAGAAACACGTAACACTGCTAATCTTACAGGAGTAGAGTTTAATTTAAGTTGGAAGCAAAACGCAATGTCCATTTCGAGACCTAGGACGAGGCTCCTTCTGAAGGAGTCAGAGACCCCCGGCTCTGGAAAGAGGCCATGCTTGTGTCCGGCTGCCTCTTCTCCCTGGAGACTCCACTCTGGGGCCCAGAGCCCTCACACCCAACACTCAACTGCCTGGGGGCTTCATACCTCCAGGCCCCTGGTGTGGCACTAAGTCACTTTCCAAACTAAGCCTTCTTTTCAAGCAACCATTAAAAATGATGAGGGCTTGGTAATAATATTTATTAAGCAAAAGGAGCAAGGAGCAAGTTACACACAACTATAATTACAACCGCATGAACACATACACAGAGACCAGGCAGGGAGAGACAACCTGAAAAGCATTCACAGGTCAGGGAGGGGGAGGAACCATTTCCACACTTTCCATCCCAGCTCCCAGAGTTCCTCAGTGCCACTAGGGGCGCTTGACTAAAGTCTCCACCTGGTACTCAGATGTTTGACTTAGAAGGCAGAGAGTGGAGCCTTCCTGCACCTCAGCTCACTGCTGTGAGCAGCCCTTGGCTACAGGACCCCAGCCCCTAGCCCTAGCTCCCTGAGGCTCATGCAGAGAGCTGAGCTGGGCCAAGAAGTAAAGGAAGATGTTTGCTAGCAGCCGCCCAGGAAGCAGCCTCTTGGAACTGGAGGGTTTCTTGCTTTCCAGCCCTGGCCTGGTACTAATGTCGCTTCGCTTCCACTCAATCTGCCCTTGTCTCCCCCCAGACAGGGCCACCCTGAGTCTTAATTTACTGTAGAGGGACGGAGGCCCATCCAGGAATCCTGTCTCGACTTTTCTCTAAAAAGGGACTGGCTGCTGTCACAAAGACCTTGCTTATTTAACAAGTCCTGCAGAAGCGACAAAACAATTTGATTGTAAACCATTAGGACGGAAAAGAATAAGTAGTAACTTTAAACAGCAAACCAACCAACCAACCAACCAAAAATTCTGAGAGCAAATTCTCGTATGAGGGGCTTCAGAGTTTGTGGAAGAATCATCTTTTCATTCCATTTTCTGGGAGTTTTCTGAAGCCCCACTGTATATACAGACATGCCAAGCTCAGATTCCGTGCCAGCTATCTGTATACACAGGAGCCCTGGTGGCACAAGGTCAGTCGTTCAAAACCATCAGTTGTTCCTCAGGAGAAAGAGGAGTCCTACTTGGAAACCGACAGGGGCAGTTCCACCCTGCCCTACAGGGTCGCTGTAAGTCAGAATGGACTTGATGGCAGTGTGTGTGTTTTCCTTTTAAATCTATATACTTGGGAGTCTCTGACATGGCAATGCTGACCTAAAGCCACCACCATCAAAGCAACTGCATGTACCCCGGGCTGCAAAGGCCCACGGAGGTGTGCTGCAGCTCTGAGCGACGTGGTTTAGACGCTTCCTCATTTGTGTTGGATCTCTTGGGAAAGTGAAACATGCAGGCACAGCAGTGGCTCTTCACCAGGACCCTCACTCACAACCCTATGCAGATAATCCTGGTGTAAAAGGAGCACAAGGCTCCAGGGGTGTGCTTGGTCAGACACCACCACTCCCAAGGGCACATGGGCTTCTCACTCCCCCACCTCAGGGAGAGTCTGCTGCGGCAACTGCTAGATTCTAAAAGTGGTGGCAATTTGAGGTCACACTTGTGTCTGTGTTACAACTTTAAGACATCCCTGCACTCACTCCGTAATGTGAACAGCATGCCAAGGGCGGCCGCTGAGACCTAGTGGCATGAAGCACACAGTGACATGAGTTAGATGAACACTGTGCTTCTGTCAATTTCCAAAACCTTCCAAAGACTACTACAGCCTTTGTGTGCAGCTTGCTGCCTCTGCCCACTGCCCACAGGAGCGCCAATGTGGGGCATGGAGGGAGAGTGACTCCGCGGGAGAGGGAGAGAGGGAGAGAGAGACAGGCAGAAAACAGGAGGCGAGAAAACCTCCCTAGAAGAAACATTTTCCAGGAGTGAAGGAACCTAGCTGGGTCTGCCGTTGAGGCATGGGACAGGGGAGCAAAACTTAGGGACCATCACCCAGGGTGAGGACGGGCCCAAGGAGGAAGTGGCCAGCTCGCTAAGGCGGCCTCCTCGTGGCCCAGGTGGACTGTAGTGGGGAACCAGCGTCCATTTGCCCCAGCAAAACTCTTCGAGGAGAGCCCGGCCATACGCTGTCACCGTACCTGAGCCAGCTCCTTAATGCGCTTCTCCAGGGGCGCGGGCAGGCCTTCGGGGAGGGATGAGGGCGGCCTGAGTTCCGGGTCTGGCCCCACCCCGAGGGAATCACTCTCGTCATCAGTGTCCCGGAAGGGGCTTCTCTCTGGAGACTCGCTGAGCAGCTGCTCCAAGTCCAAGTCTGTCAGTGCGTCCATGGCAGTGGCTGCCTGCAGCAGGTCATTGTCAGACGTGGAGCCGAAGAGCGAGAGCAAAGGGTCAGTGGTGGCTTCCAAGTCCCGCAGGCTTGGGGCCTCCGTGGGGGGTACCGCTGCTGCCACCGAGGGCTTGTGCTCCTCGTCTCTCTTCTTCTGTGCCTCTTTCTCCTTCTGGAACTTCTTCAGCATCTCCTTCACGCTCAGCGCCCCTGAGTACTTCTTCTTCTTCTTCTCCTTACTGGCATTGAGGGCTGTGAAGCTGCCAAGGGAGGACCTGGTTAGGAGGACCTCAGGGTACCCTCAGAAGGGCAGGCAAGGGGGGCTTCACCCCACTCCCAGCACCAGTTCCTATCCACCCCTCATGGCCCTCCTCCTCTTGGCACAGGGCACTCATCAAGAGCTCTAACCCCGCCCGCCCCCCCCAGTGGGCCCTGCTGCCCAGGGGTTCTCCCATCAAAGCAGCAGCTGCCTCTCACCCAGTTTTGGAAAACTTGGACTTTTTTGATTTCTTCTCCTTGTCATAAGTGTCGTCTTTTTTTTTCTTCTTTATCTTCTCACCACCTTCCTTCAACTTCCGCTTCTGAGGATTATAGACAAGGCAGGCTCAGGAAAGAGAGACCCCACCACAGCACTGGCCGTGCCCCACCTAGCTGTGCTCCACACCGGCCTCCTCTCCTTCCTGTCAGTCCCTGGACTCAAGAGCCCCAGCACCACTCAGCCCCTGCCTGCTGGCCAGTGTCTTCTGAGACCCTGAGGCCTGCAGCCACAGAGGGGCGCTCTACAGACTGAGAGGCGGGCTTCCCCAGCACACCGTTTTGCATAAAGTGACTGGAGGGTGGACTTGCTCTCACAGGGCTGACAGCTCTGGGAAGGGAAGCCTTCTACATGTGCACAAGAGGAACACAGTCCCTCATCCACTCCCTTCCCTGACCCCCATCCCCACTGAGATCACCTCCAGAAATGATCTCTGCTGGCCTGTGCAGATGTACATGGCAGAGACAGGGAGCGCTGAGCTAAGGACCCCACCGCCACGGTCTCCTGAGCCGCCCTCCCCTGCACCCAGTCATGCAGAAAGCAGCATTTCCGAGAACAAAGAGTAAGCAACCTTCTAACCTTTGGAGATTTTTTCTTTTTTTCCTTGATGAAGTCATCCTCTGATTCCGAAGCCTGTCGAAACTGCAAAGTCCCCGAGTTGATGTAAAACCCACCATACTTGGTGGTCAGAGAAGCCGGGACCAGCTCGTCATACTGAAGCGGGGAGACAAACCGTCAGTTCCCAGTTGCCTCAGAGGTGCAAAGCAGGTCCCCAGAGAGGGGGTGAGACCACATTGGAGGTGGCAAAGGCAGCAGACTTTTTGGCCTAGCCTGGCCCAGACAGAGGGTGCCACCTTGCTGCTCAGAGGATCCCCTGCTGCCCCCCTCACACCCATGGGAAGGGCTCACCGCCTCTGAGTTGTCGATGAAGGAGTCAGACTCGTCGTAGCCATAGCCCATGTCAATCAAATCCTGCAGACGGTCTTTTCTCCGTTTTTTGCCACCCTGAAAACGTCAAGACCAGAGATAACATACTATGGGAATTCATGGCAGCCTTTTAGCGGTAAAGCATGGGAACCAGCCACGTGCGCGCACGCCCGCCCACACACACACATAGATACATATGTATATATACACCCCACCCCAAAACCTTTTCCCTTCTGAACTGCAACACGTTTTTATCTGTATGAAATGGTTTTGGACAGAAGTTTCTCACACTTCAAGCCTACTGTCGATTCCATGGAGAGTAGCAGCCCCTTTCACTGGCTTGTCTACTCAACAACACACAGGCGCGCCCTCTGTAGCCACCCCCTGGATGAAAAGCTGCACCCGTCCAGCCTGGCGCTCGGCCTAAATTCAGATCAGGGCTGATGTAATTCACCATTTGCTAAAGGGGATGAGAATGCCCAGAACCCTCTCTGACCAGGCTGCTACTGCCCATAAGAGTAGCTTACGTATTTTTCTTCAAATTTCCGGGCAAAGGCCTCCACTTTGTGCCTCTCCTTTTCATCGTCATTGAAAGGATCCGAGAGCTCTTTCTTCTGTAAAGAGATGGTTTTAACAAGAATGGTAAGTCACAACAGTTCTACTGCCTTCACCAACCACTTAGCAGCACCGACAGCTGCATTCTAACACAAACAGCTCCCGTTGTGAAGAGATCCATGCAACCATCTGCACTGCCTGCCTTGGTGGTTTAAGGGCAGTTTCCACTGGTGGAAGTCAACAGAACCAGGTGGAAGGCCTACAAGCTGTGTCCTATGGCCCTGAGCGCAGCAGGGCTCTACAGCCAGAACAGAGGCTCCAGTCAGGGAGACTTAGTCCACCATCCAGGGTCTCTGCTGTCCCCTGCCCCACTAGTCCTCACCGTATGGCCTTGGCTGCTCCAGCCTTCCCAAGGGACCGGTGGCTCACTCATGGTCCAGAAACTCTGGAGGTCCTGCAGGTGCTTGAGTGTTGGCTAACACATGGCTCTCCTTGCCCGGCACAGTCCCTAAGCTCTGCCATCAATCCCCTTTCATCCTCCCGATCTCGATTTGTGTGCTTCTTAAGTGCTCTTGAGTCAACCTGACATCTGACGGACAACAGAGTGAAACCCTGCCCAGTCCTGTGTCACCTTCACGATTGTTGTTGAAGGTCATCATCCTCTTTTATAGTGCCCCTCTACTTTACCCAGCAGTGTCTTTATCCAGAGTACGTGAGATGATATCTTCTCACCCTCGATTCCTAAGATTCTGGCTCTACGTCTTCCATCAGACTAGTTTGTTCCCATTTTCTGTCAACATCAGATGCACTGATTCTTCGATTTTCCTTATCCGTTGTCATTTATCACATGCTAGTCTCACTACTCACTCTGAATATTTTCATATGGTCTTCCACACTGTTATTAATTCTCCTTAACTCAACCCTGCACTTCCCCCATGAAATACAGTCTCCAGAGCAGAGCCTTAAGCTTCACGGGCAAAAAGCCAGTATTTAATAAAAAAAGTTTAAAAAACCTCCTGTACCAACTATGCTTAAGAGCAGACAATAAACACTACAGATTGGATGCTTGTTTGAAAAGGAAACTTCTCTCAACCTCTGGTCTCTGCCCAGGTGACTTATGCTTAATGTATATCGTGGGATATTATAGTGTGCCACACAGTGTTTGTCCTATGCGTGGTGGTTTTAACACATACTTATCTGCATCTTCCAATTTTTTGACCATTATCACATGAAACTTAAGTGATTGATGTCATTGTTAGTGTCATTTTAAGAACTCCCACCAGTCTCACTCACTGCAGGTTGGATGCAACTTGGACTTCTAGTGCCTTGCGGATATCCAACTTCTTAGCTATAAGGCCCTAGTGTGTCCAGAATGTAGGTGCACCATGCAAGTATGCCACAATGTCACTTATGTTACTTTGTTGCTGTGATTTCTCCAGAAACCTCCACACATTTGCAAGGTCCTCTGAGGCTGGGATAGCAACTTTATTTCTCTATCTTTCTCTAAGTCCAGCACAAGCCCTTCCCAAGGAAAAAAACATATACTGCACATAAACTAGTACACAAAATGGTCAGGCTGCATGAGGGTCCTTCAAAAGATACTGCTACACAGCCACTGGAATTTCTGTTAAACAAAAGATACCAAAATATGCAGCCACTTTTCTCACCATCACCACCATCAGGATGACACACTGCTGAAGCCATGCGTCCATCTATTCCCTGAAGAACCCCTCTCCTTGATTCACACATCAAAAAAGGCAGTTGGGGCATCCTTGAGGGATTCAAATCACGTTCCTTTTCAATGTTCTTTGAGTTTGGGGAACAAAACCAGTCTGACGGGGCAAGATTGGGGCTGCAGCCAGGATGAAGTAAGGATTCCCAACAGAATTCTCATTGGATGGGCCTCGCTACCTTAAAAGGATGAGCAAGTTTATTATTATTGTGATGGAGGAAGCCCTTGGCACAACCTTCCTGGGACTCTTTCTCACCAATGTGGTTTTCAACTTCATAATAAGCCCTGGGGATCATCTGGTGCTTCTGGAGAAAATCTATCTAGATAACCCCCTTGGGAGCCCCACAGACAGTCTCCATAACTTTCTGAGCTGAGCTCTCTGCCTTGAATTTCCCTGGCCCAGATCTGGGAAACCTGCTGTGACTGAGATCAAGACCAATGTATTCACTAGAGAACTGGTCCCAAAGACAGACCTAGAAGCCTTTTGTTTGGAATAAACTCAAGCATATAAGAACCGGAACTCCAGTAGCAACACTTTGAAACCTCAGTGTCTGGCTGGTGCCTTCTCCTTACAGGAAAAACACATTAAACAAGCCAGTATGTGAATGTATCAGATTGTGTCTGCTTTAGACATTTTTAGATACATGCCAGAAGCAGGTTCTAAAGCTCAGGTCCAGGGAGAAAACCTGCCTTTCTTGGGGGACGCTGTGGGCTGTTTTCAGCCATGAAGGAACCCCACCCTGGTGAAACCAAAGGGCTGGCATTCTAAGTTCAACTGACCTACTGATTGTGCTTGGGCCCAGAAATAAAGATTGTCACCCACCTCTCACTGATCTCACTCTTCCTCTCAGGCAAAGAGTGCCCTATCCACTTTGGGGAAGGGGCTGAGGTTAGATCTGATACCCTGGGAGCCAGTTACCATCCTTTGCTCTATTTCACTATGGACCACACTGGAGACCAAAATACCGCAGGAGATTTCTGTGGCAAGAAGGAAAAGGCCTGGCACAGAATTCCTTCATTGGAGCAGCCAGGGACTGGTCTCACTGGCAAGAGCATTTAGAAAGCTCACTGATCTTTTCTTCTACACACAATTAGCCAAGTGGATATATATGATAATTAATCACGTACATATATTAATGGACTCATTCACTGTCACCACGTTGATTCTGACTCACAGCAAGTCCTACAGGGCAAGGCAGAACTGCCCCTGTGGGTTTCTTTATGGGAGTAGACAGCTTCATCTTTCTCCTGCAGGGCAGCTGATGATTTCAAGCATCTGACTCTGAGGTTAGCAGCCCAACTCGTAACCACTACACTAACTACCAGGGCTCCTATAGATAGGAATTAGCCTCACATAATTATTAATTAGCCACAATTCTAATGAGCCTTGGCTGTCCCATGCATTTTCCCCCACTAGGAGAATGGTTGCAGAAAGAATTCTATCCCCTCATGCCCAGACTCAATGCCAGCCTGCCCTGTCAGTGACCTGGGGTGGAGACCATGACCCTGGAGACCACCTAAGCCTCCTTGGCCTCCCTTGCTCCCCAGAAGTCCCACCTGCATGTGCATGAAGCCAGGCTGTACCTTGTCTCCAGACGGGAGGCCCCTCACTTTCCCTCGGAGGTTCTTTACCAGCTCCGGGTAGAAGAACTCGGGGCAGCGCTTGTGGTCTGGCTCAAAGAGGGTGAGGGTGATCCGAACAGCAGCAGCTGCCGGCTCTGAGTCCTGGGGCTGCTCTGCACCCCCCACATCCTCCTTCCGGGATTTCTTCAGAAAGGCAGGATTCAGAGGACCAGGGAGCGACGTGAACTGGATCCTGTGGGGCTCCGACATGGCTACCAACAGGTCTTAGCGCTGGTCACTGCATGGCTTCTGCAAATACGGAAAAGAGCCAAGCGGGAACAAGATGGTCCAATGACACGTTTCTCACCCCACTGTACAGATTACAGTTGGAAGGAATCAAGTTAGCAAGCACTCACTGTTGCACTGGTTTTAATTACCATTAACCAGATCATTAATATTTTTTCCTATTTAAGTAAAACTCATTTTAAATGGAAACATTTCCATAGACATATCTGGACCCCAAACCAAAGCCACTGCCATCAAGTCAATTCGGACTCATAATGATCCTACAGTTATCCCACATCCTACCATCCAGAGATGGCGTTATTTCCTTCTAGTATTTTTTCCTATGCGTATTTCATAAACTCCAAAACCCACTACTGTCCCATCAATCACAACTTGTAGCTACTCCACAGGGCAAGAGTGGAAACTGCTCCCCTATGCTTCAGAGGCTGCACAAAAAACAGCCTGGCACCTCTCTCCCCACCAGAGCAGCTGCTAGGTTTGAACCACTGGCCTCAGCTAGGAGCCTGACGCTTAACTCACTGTGCCACCTATGTGTGCACGCATGTTCACCTGATTCTTAAGAACCCTCCATATCGCGCACACGCCATGGCCCGTACCAAGACAAATCACTGCGTTAATGCCCTTTGACTGCAGTCCCAGCAGTGTATTTTCTTCTGGGGTCCATTTCCACAATGAGAACGTTTCTGGCCTCCTCATAAAGCAGGGTGCTCAGGGGTGTGGGCTCCTTTCCTAACAGAGCACCTGCCTTTCACCACCCAATCTTGGGTCTCACTCAGCAAACAACCAGGGCTTGTAAGCAATATTATGCAAATGATGGGGGTGGGGTATGTGTATATCAGGTGATTCTCATGTACACTTAAGATGTGGGTCTCATTAAAATGTAGACGAAGAATCACCTGGGGATCTTGTAGACTGACTCAGTCTACCTGGGGTGTAAATACAAATTCTTAGCCAGGGGTTAAGGTAGAAGGAACCAGGTGAAAGACCCCAAGAATCATGAAGCTACCTGCACATAAGGGCCAAAAGAGCACAGTTGAATAAAACTGTAGTTTTACGGATTTGTGAGAGATCTTAATATCACACCAATTTTTGTGTCCGGCCAGCACACTTCATACAGGGACAGTACTTTCCTGGTGGGTCATTTTCTGTTTGATGGTGCTGTGTGCAAGCTTTTGACTCAGTCAAAATGGGGACCTCTTCTTCACAATGTCTCCAGTTTCTTTTATGTCTAGGATGACCCTCTCCCAGTAGACAGTGACGTGTGAGTCTTTTGGCCTTTTCACATTTCACTCTTTGGCCCAAGTGGAATTTATTTTGCTGTCAGGTGAGGCTCTAACATAAGTTTCCTCCCAGCACTGACCAGGCCGGGCCAAATATCTGAGAATTAAGAACGTACACATTTCAGTGCTGCTTACAGGAACTTCTAGGGCTGAATGCTTCAAGGAGTTTAATCTGTTCAAACTGGTATCTTAATTGAACCTTTGTCAAGGACCAAGTAATTATCTTTTTGTATATGAAAATTCTTAGATTTGCAAATGAAACAAGATTTGTGAGTAAGACTCACAGGGCTTTGAAGAAAGAAACAGCCACCTCAAACAGGCAACTTCAATTAGTTGAACAGTACAGGGCTCTACACACAAAAGCTTAAGGAACAATGACTGAAGTTACCCGAGAAATGTTGCCCCCACTTACTCCAGCTTCTCTGGAGCGTAGGATATAGGATTGCTGGGAATTGTGCATGTTTTTGGTGATCGTGAACAGGGCCTCTAGATTGGCACATTTTAAAACCGGTTTAGTGACAAAACATGGAAAAATAAAACGACTTTCATATGCTAGTTTTGTAAGGAGTCCTGCTGCTGTTGTGTTATTAACGGTGGCTATCCCCTGGGGCCTCTTTTCTGTTTCCCCCAAAGAGACATTCCTATCATCCAGCCCATTTATTTTGGTTTCATGTCTTATTGCATTGGCTGGCTCTTGCAGGGCATTGGATTAAAAAATACAAACGGAATTAAAAGTTAACAATTTTTCCCATCAACTTATACACTCGCGTGCGTGGGGTGTGTGTGTGTGGTGTGTGTGTGTGTGTGTGTGTGTGTTGCTCCTTCCTCCATGTCCCCTACAACGCTGTTTTAAGATTCCTAAGGCGCTGTGGTTGGCCATTCACCAGTAGATAGGGATTCCAACCCACCATCAAGTTTGAGAGAAATATATGCTAGCCTGTGTCTGTAAAGATGACAGCCTTGAACCTCGATGGGGACATTTCTACATTCTAATAGGGTTACAACGAGTCCAAACCCATCAAAGAGCAACAGATTTTTATTTCTTTATCCAAGAGCCCCAGTGGCTGAATGGTTATGCTGCTCAGCTGCTAGCTGAAAGGTTAGTGGCTCCAATCCAGCCAACAGGCCCTTGGGAGAGACCTGTGATCTGCTTGCCAAGAGATTCCTAGGGGACAGTTCTCCTCTGCGACCAGTCAGAATCACACTAACACCTAACATTCTCTACCCAGCCGCGACTAAAATAGCATTCAACTCTCTGCACACCAAAAAATTTTAAATTAGGAGAAGCGTGGATGATTCGTTTCTCTTTAAAAAAAAATGTAGACAGTTCCAAAAACTAACAGCGGTTTTTAAAACAAAGCAATGCATGGGGCGGCTTCTAAGACCGATGCGCACAGGTTCCGAGACTGCAAAGCAGCACCAAGCCCTGGACGACTGGTACATTAGAACCCACTTTCCAACCCAAGCCCCGGTATAATGAAACGCCTACGGGGTTCGCGAGCAGACAGGCCACCTTCCACCTTATCCCACGGGGGCGGGGGAGGGAGGGGGGAGATACTCAACTGCACGCCCGCTCCAACTTGGGTGCTGCTGGAACAACTCCTGGGGGCCCTTTGGAAAACTTGCCCCTCTCTCTGCCCGGCCACACGGACGCCTGAGTGGCCACTTCCGTGCCAGCCCCCATCCATAACCCACGGGCGCGGGCCGCCTGGTGGCTGCCAACGGCCGGAGGCCAACTTCTCTCCCAGGTGTCAGGCGGCACCCGGTCC